TTCCCTTCCCACTCTGGGGCCAGCCAAAGGTGATATTTGCTGGTTCTCCAAACGACTCAAAATTTCTGCTACCGGTTCTCCAGAACCGGTCAGAACCTGCTGGATTTCACCCCGGTCCTAGCTCTGTCTGACCTGTCCCAAGCTTTGTCTCCCAGTCTTCTGCAGGGCAAGGATCGCTCGGCGGATCGGATAACCCAAGGCGACCATTGGCTCAATCAGTTCGCGTTCCTCTTGGCTCAGCACCGAGAGAAGATCGGAGGTGGAGTCCAGCAATGGAGCTCTGTGCGGACTTAGGGGTTGCTGGGTCCCTGGTGGTGGTGGAAGGCAGGCGTACGGGCTGAGAGACTGAAAAATAAAATAAAAACAGAGCGTTTAACGTCAGTGAACTTGGAGAAATTGTTATTAGCCATCTGTTCTTTCCTGAGATTTGGAATATGAGGACCCTTCCTCTGGAACATGTGCAGCCATTGTGGGTAAGCCAAGAAAGCGCTTTCAAGCCTCTTCTTGTCATGTTAAAATTAATTTAGCCCAGCCATAAAGCGAGCCAGGAAAATTCCCACAGTTAGGAACGATCTCTCTCCCCCCCCCGCCCCCACAGCTATTAACATCCTGTTTTCATTTCTGTTTTTCTGAAGCTGATTCAGAACCATCCTGATTTGGACTAAAGATTATTATGTTTCCACGGAGATGACAAAGGCTGGTAAAACAATAATGAAGACAGGGAAGCTGCTGGGTCTTGAGAAATAAAACATGGACACTTTTTAAACTTAAAAACGATATCTTCATATCATTCAGAGACATGGTTGATGTAGTTTTGGGAAACTTTTCCCTTGGTGCAGTTTTCACACGGTGGTGAAGTCCTTCCTTGACTGTTTTTTCTTGTCATCATTCAAACTTTCTCTTTGGCTGTCTCTGGCTATGACAGTCAGGGTATATTATTCCCAGCAGTTCCCAGCAATATCTATATTTATATATATCAGAATTACTATTGCTGGGAACTGCTGGGAATAATATACCCTGACTATCATATATTTCACAGAGGGTGACATTTGCAAAACAGTGTCCATCAAAGGAAGGCAAGCCAAGGATATTTCGCACAAATCAAACCTTAAAATGCAAACACTCTACAAGTGTTTAAATTCTCTCCCTCCATTTCTCTCAAATTCATTGCATATATATTATTTACATTATAGGACTGAAACATTAATTCGTTTATGTTTATTTATAGGTTGTGTTATACTGGGCTTCAGCGGTCGCATTTCAAAGTGTACAGGACTCTTCTGTAAATCTTATGCAGCCTCACGTTCAAAGTAACAACAAGCAAGGCAGCCAAACACTCATCAAATAAAACCACATGAAACAAAACCTCGACAAAATGCAAAACAAAAACTTCTGAACGATGGGGCTTACAGAGAATTAAAACATTCCATTCCGCTCATTCTCCATGCTAAACTGATAAGAGTCCAAAAGAATTTCATCATATAGTTGGGCACACACACGGGATGTTTATATTACCTTAAGTAACCCTAGTTTAACTCTTGCCTCCTTCTAACTATCCCACAGAGAAATAAAGCTATTTTCCTTGGGGATATTAAAGGTCATAATAATATGAGCAGAAACTTAGGAAACTAGTTATGTCTAGTCCAACAAATGTCAGCCTGGTAATCATCTTTTGCATTGGGCCTTCAGGCCTGCCACACTTAATACTGTGGGAAAATGGGAGGGGGGATTATATGGAGTATGGGAGATACATAGTCATAAAAACATTCCTTTCTCAGAGAGTCAAGGACACCTTGCCTGCACATGGAGTGGTGTGACTGGGAGGCATCTCCAGTTGGGATGGTGCCTGATTGGACCACGTGATGGACATGCGGGTGCTGAGCAGGGACTTGGACTTTCTTTTGGGTGGGGAAAACCTGGAAGCTTTCAGATTCGGGTTTTCCCAGATGTGCCAATATGACATCTCTCATAAAATGGAACTTTGAGGAAACGCAAGCCTCGGAGTCTTTTTTCGTTGGGGGTGTTACTTGGAACCCTGACAACAAAGAGAAGGATGAGAGGTGATATCATAGTGAGCTTCCAATAGTTGAGAGTCTATCACAGAGAAGAGGGGGGATTGACTTATTCTCCAGAGCATCTGAGGGCAGGAGAAGGAGTATTGGGGTGGAGGGGGGCGATCATTGAAGAGAGATCCAACCTAGAACTAAGGAGAAATTTCCTGATAGTGAGAACAATTAATCAGTGGAAGTTGTGGGTGCTTTATCACTGGAGGCTTTCAAGAAGAGACTGGATAGCCATTTGTCTGGAATGCTATAGGTTAAGTCCGCCAAAGTTTCTTCCAATCATATTATTCTATGTTTCAACATAATGTTTAGCGTATACAGAGAGTTTTCAGTTGGGTGAAAGTCTCAAATGTTATACAGATGTTAAGGTGGATGGAGATAAAATGAAGACCATCTTAAGGCTATGAAGACCATTCCTATTTGATGTGATGCAGAGGTGGTATTCAGCAGGTTCTGACAGGTTCTGGTGAACCGGTAGCAGAAATTTTGAGTGGTACGGAGAACCGGCAAATACCGCCTCTGACTGGCTCCACCCCATCTGTTTGCTGCCTCCTGAGTCCCAGCTGATTGGCTGGGTTTTCTTTTGTTGCCCTGAACAGGAGAACAGAGCTGAAAAGTAGGTTAGAGGGGTGGGGAGAGAATGAGGATTTTGCAGTATCCTTCCCCTGCCAAGCCCACCAAGCCATGCCCACCAAGCCATGCCCATCAAGAAACGACACGCCCACGGAACCGGTAGTAAAAAAAAATTGAATCCCACCACTGATATGTTGCATGAATTGTTTCCAGGCATAACTTAAGAATACATCTTGGATCTGGGTTGGAGGAACCGAGGGGGTAAGGACAAGTCAACAAGGAAAAGAAAGCAGTTGCTGAATCAGCTGTTGCTGAAAAAGTCATCAAAATGGCAAAGCCTCTTTGAAGCTTTGGAACTGATCTTGTTTGTGGAGTTTTGGAAATCGAGAAGGCTAAAGGGATAAAAATGACTCATCAGCAGCTTGTCCTGTGATATCAACTCCTCATTAATGGCTTAAAAGACAGGACGGAAAAGACGGAGAAACAATATTCCTCCCCTGGGGAAGATCCTTCTTGAATGATATTAATAGGGACTAGATAGGATACATTACAAATTCTTGTCTTTTCCCATTATGTGATAATCAACCCACAATATGCATATGTGACGATGAAGCACACAAAATGGAGCAGTCTGAATTTTATATTGAAGTAATTCCCTAGAGCCAGGTGTCCACAATCACCTGTGGTTCTCTCTTGGGATCTGATTTTAATGTATTTTCATTTATTTTAAACAAAAAAATAAAATAAATTAAATCACGTACCTGGAATGCTGGAGGGCAAGAGACCGCTCTCCAGCAACATTTGTACAGGCAGTCCTTGACTTTACGACCACCATTGAGCCCAAAATTTATGTTGGTAAGTGAGAAATTTGTGAAGTGAGTTTTGTCCCATGTTCTGCCACAGTTGTTAACTGAATCCCTGCAGTTGTGAAGTTAGTCACACAGTTGTTCAGTGAATCCGGCTACCCCACTGACTTTGCTTGTCGGAAGGTCGCAAAAGGGGATCATGTGACCCTGGGAACACTGCAGCCGTCATAAATGTGAGTCAGATGCCAAGCATCTGAATGTAAGTCATGTAACCATGGGGGTAGGAGGCACCTTGGAGGTCTTCTAGTCCAACCCACTGCCCATGGTAGGAGACTCTATACCAGGGATGGCTAACCTTTTTCTAAAGGTGTGCCAAAACTGTGTGCATGTGTGCTATCGCGCATGCGCATGTGCCCACCCACTTGCACAATCAACCGCCACACACGCATGAACGAGCGACCCCCATGTGTGGAGGGAATTTTCACCCTCCCCAGGCTCGGGAGGCTTTCCTGAAGCCTGGGGAGGGCAAAAACAGCCCCCGGATCCTACAGGGGCCAGGGAAGGCCATTTTCGCCCTCCCTAGGCTTCAGGAAAGGCCCCGAAGCATGTGGAAGGTAAAAAACAGGCCCAACAGGCCAACCGGAAGTTCGGAAACGAACTTCCAGTTGACCCATTGAGCCTGTTTTTCACCCTCTCTGGGCTCCAGAGATTTTCTTGAAGTCTGGGAAGGGCAAAAACAGCCTCCCCCAGCCCTCTGGAAGGCCAAATAATTCCAAATAATTCCAAAATAATTCCAAATTCCAAATATCAGCCGGCCGGTGTGCGCACACACGGTGGAGCTGAGGGCTGCCAATGGCTGCCGTGTCAGCAAATATGGCTCCGCATGCCACAGGTTCACCATGAAGGCCTTATACCATTCTGGACAAGTGACTACCCAGTCTCTTCTTAAAAACCTTCTGTGATGGAGCACCCACCCCTTCTGGGGAAAAGGAACCGCTGGGATTTGAACCCCGATCTCCTAGACCAAGGGCAGCAATGTAACCGCAAAGTTATCCAGCCACTCATCCCTTTTAAACAAATGCCATAAAAATGGTAGATGGTGCTTTATTAGGAATGTGCCATCAGCTCAAAAAAAAAAACAAGGCAGTGTTACACCTGGGCTATTTTAAGAGCTGGAAGAAATGGTAGAGAGCAACTTCACTGGTTCGTTTTTGCTAAATGGGTATTTTGTGACCAGGCAAACACAGTGTGAGGTTGAAATGCTCTAGCTGCCCACTGGCCCACAAAGGCTGCCCCTCTCTGCTTTTACCCTACCACCCAAGTCAGTCCAATTCAACCCCTTTTTCATACAATACTCAGTTTCCATATCAGGCTAAGGCAGTAAACTAGAGATCTCCAGACACTTAATCCTTACTCAGCTCTTGGCTAGACTTTTCAGAAAGCATCCATAGATCATTAAAAAAAAAAAAAAATTATATCGCAGAGAAGAACAAAGCCATAACCCAGGGGCTGACAGCCCATATCAGTGCAAAGAGAGCAGAATTTTCATATGTCTATCCTGCAGCTTTTAAGTTTCTTCCCCCTGTGCTGCCAAGTTCATGGGTTATTTTGGTGTCTCCCTTGGGCGTTTGTTAAGCGACTTAGTGGCTAAGATGATGAGCTTGTCGATCAGAAAGATCAGCAGTTTGGAATCCCTAGTGACGCATAAGCTCCCATTACTTGTCCCAGGTTCTGCCAACCGAGCAGTTCGAAAGCACGTAAAATGCGAATAGAAAAATAGGAACCACCTTTGGTGGGAAGGTGACAGAGTTCCATGCGCCTTTGCTGTTTAGTCATGCCGGCCACATGACCACGGAGACGTCTTCAGACAGCACTGGTTCTTCGACTTTGAAACAGAGATGAGCACCACCCCCTAGAGTCGAGAACAACTAGCCCAGATGTGCGAGGGAAGCTGGCATGACTAAACACCGTAGGTGCACGGAACGCTGTTCTCTTCCCACCAAAGGTGGTCCCTATTTTTCTACTTGCATTTTTTACGTGCTTTCGAACTGCTAGGTTGGCAGAAGCAAGCTCAGCGTCTTAGCCACTGAGCCACTGCATCCCTTGCTATGTATACGTAATATAAAATTAAAAACCTGACCCCAAAAAAGAAGAGGTTGTAGGTGTTCCATCATAGGAGGTTTTTAAAAAGAGACTGGACAGTCACTTGTCTGAAATGGTATAGGGCAGTGTTTCTCAACCTTGGCAATTTGAAGATGCCTGGACTTCAACTCCCAGAATTCCCCCAACAAGCGCAGGCGGCGCGGGGG